GAATGTGATGACTCCCAGAAGGCTGTTCTCACAGCGGGAACCCATAGTGCCCTCAGGCTCCCATGTTCCTGGCTGGACCTTTTTCTGCCCTCAGGCCCCAGCTGGAGGCCTTACCTTCAGGCTCAGTGTGGGGCGGGGGGCGCTTTTCCCGGCTGCAGGACGAACTGACTGTGGAGGGGACCAGGGCCAATTTGACAGACTGGGATCCCCAGAAGGACCTGATGGTGCGTGTGTGCGTCTGCAGTGCTGTTGGCTGTGGGCCTTGGAGTCAGCCTCTGGTGATCTCTTCTCACGACCATGCAGGTGAGGCCTGGGGGGGCAGCAGGGAGAATCAAGACTTTCAAGAGCAACCTAGACTGCTGAGATTAGAGGCCTATATTCTCAGAGTCAAGCAGTCAAAGCCAGGGTTAGTATTTAAATTATTAATACATCTCGTTTCTACCCCCTTCCCCAGAACTGGCTGGGAAATCCTTGGTCACACTGTAGGTCACATGGTCAGGACCTATCACTGACTTGGTAGGAACTCTCGAATCTTCCTCCTGAGACCCTTTCACGTGGGAGTCTTATTGATTTAGGGGAGACTTTTAACCAGGCTGGACGGTCATTCTGGGAAAGTTCTAAAGGGACCCTTTGGTGTCAGCCCAGCTCATGCCACCATGCCTCCCTTCCACAGGCCAGCAGGGTCCTCCCCACAGCCGCACATCCTGGGTGCCTGTGGTTCTGGGTGTGCTCACAGCCCTCGTGACGGCTGCCGCTCTGGCCCTCATTCTGCTTAGAAAGAGGCGGAAGGAGACACGGTTTGGGTAAGGGGGTGGGGACATGGAGGAGGGGCAGGTGGTGACAGAAGACTTTAGAGCTGACCCAATGTCTTGGGTTTCCCTTTAGACAAGCCTTTGACAGTGTCATGGCCCGGGGGGAGCCAGCTGTTCACTTCCGGGCAGCCCGGTCTTTCAATCGAGAAAGGCCTGAGCGCATCGAGGCCACACGTGAGTAGTGGGGATCACAGAAGAAAACATGGGCTATCTGGTGCCCCGTCTGCATTCCTGTACTAGCTTATCACTTTGAACCTTGATGAGTTCCAAGCATGCGATAATGAAAACGACACAGACCTACGCTGGTGTGGTTCACCACCGCAGCTGTGGGAGGTGTGTGGTCATCTCTGTGATTCAAGGGTAGAGATCTAGGTATAAGAAGCAAGCTGGGGCCGGTCCCATGGCCTGGTGGTTAAGGCAACCAGGTCCACATGGCCAGCTGCAGTTGAAATCCCAGCCCTGGTGGCTTGAAAGTATGCCGGGTGTGTGTGCATGGGTGCACACATGGCAGAAACGGAGGAGGAGATTGCAGCCTGACCATGCCTTATGGTGGGTGCTTTCTCTCTCTCTGGTGAGTGCATGCACCCTCTGGCAACTGAAAAGAAAGAAAGAGCAGGCTAGGTTTTCCATCAGGAGCTAGAGAGTGCTCCCCTTTTCACCAACCCTCTCCTGCAGTGGACAGCTTGGGCATCAGCGATGAGCTAAAGGACAAATTGCAGGATGTGCTCATCCCCGAACAGCAGTTCACCCTGGGCCGGATGTTGGGCAAAGGTATGTGGGGCTGTGCTGGGATTGGCATGAGCCTGCCGTATCTGGACGTGTTTGGTTGTCACTTTGAGGACGGATTTGGGTCAGTCCCCATCAACAAGGAATGCTCATAGACTCCTGAGTCTGGGGACGGGAGGTCTGAGGAGCCACTTCTAGCATTCTCTGCCTGGCTACAAGCAAGAGAGCCTCCTCCAGGCCCCAGAGTCTAGTGTTTTTGTCTCCCTGTGGAGGGTCGCCTGGGAGGGAAGGGGGCGGGGCAGAGGGCCAAGACTCCCCCTCGTTCCAATTGGTTCCTAGGAGAGTTTGGTTCAGTGCGGGAGGCCCAGCTGAAGCAGGAAGACGGCTCCTTTGTGAAAGTGGCTGTGAAGATGCTGAAAGGTGAGTGGAGAGGAGTAGTAGGGGGTGGGCATCACCTGGGAGGGTAAAGGGGTGACTGACCCTGGAGCGGGCGCTGTTTTGCTCCTAGCTTAGCTTTTCTCAGAAGACCTGGTCAGCATCAGCTGGGATGCTAGGTGTACCTGCAAATAATTCACAAGCATAAACTCACCCACATTCTCATGCCCCAGCCGTTGCTCCCTGCCACCCTCAGCTCCTCCTGGTCGACCCCTGGGCTGATTACAGCTGTGTTGGTTGAGCTCTGGACTGTCCAAACCAGAAGGAAGGCGTTGGCAAGTTGAGGCATTGTTGGATAGTGCCCCTCTTGGGGGTTTTCCTGCTCATGACTGGACTATTTCCTGGGCCCCCTGGGAAGCCCAGGGCATCTGAAGCACAAGACCTAGGAGTGTTATATCAGGGCAGGGTAGGGCTCATCTCACTCCATTCCCTCCCTCTGCTCCTCTCCCAGCTGACATCATTGCCTCAAGCGACATCGAAGAGTTCCTCAGGGAAGCAGCTTGCATGAAGGAGTTTGACCATCCACACGTGGCCAAGCTTGTTGGTGAGCCCCTTCTGGGGGGAGGCAGGTGTGGAAAAGGCTAAAAATATGCTCAGCCAAGGTGAGAGGGCAACCTCCTGCAGGAGACAAGTTTGGAATTACCTGGTGAGTAAACTGATAGTGAAATAGCAAGGCGGGACGTAGCCGGGGCAGGACCACGCTGCAGGTGAGTCTGTAGTAAACGTCTGCACATGGAGACACTCGTGTGGACAGAGATGGAGGAGGAGGGAACAGAGATGATGCCTTAGGGATCTGGGAGCAGCCACGGCCCTTGAGTAGTTCTCAGTCCAGTGTGGGGAAACGAAGCAGAGCCAGAGCTAGAGGTGGGACCCAGCAGGTGGGGACTCATCCCTTGAGCAGACCCCTGACCTTTACATGCCAGCTCCTGAATCTCCCTTGTCCCCAGGGGTGAGCCTCCGGAGCAGGGCCAAAGGCCGTCTCCCCATCCCCATGGTAATCCTGCCCTTCATGAAGCATGGGGACCTGCACGCCTTCCTGCTTGCCTCCAGGATGGGGGAGAACCCCTTTGTGAGTGCCTGGGGTGGGCGTGGCTAGGAGGAAATGGGTGGGAGAACAGAGCCAGAAAGAGATGAAGACCTTGGGGGGAGGTGGCTGGTGCGGGTGGGGGTGGG